CGGCTAGACGAAGTCGACCACGCTCAGTTGTGATAGAGGCTCCGGCACGGCAAAGGGAGAGGACTCGGCGCCGTTGAGCGTCGTCTGCTTTGGGAAGGGAGGACGGCCGGGCTGCGGGCACGGAGGGACCGCGGAGCAGCCGCCGGCCGAAGGAGCATCCCAGCGCAGCTGCGGCTCAACACCGAGACTCGCGCTTTACCGATTCGATATAAGGTGTTTTGCTTTCTGGTGTCAGTGCATTCTTCAAAGCCAGGACTCGCTTCATCACGTATCCACACCGAAACCTTTTTAAGAGAAAAATAAAGCCCTCATCCACGGTAAAAGGTGTGGCGATGTCTATATTTCTAGCGGAGAAATGTTAATAGTGAATCACTTCAGAAATCCATGGTAGAAAACTTCTCTGTTCTTCCAGCAGATTTTTTAAAAGCGCACCGACGCGGTATGTTTTGTTTAATTTTGAATTTACATTAACTTTTCTAAAGTGGAATCTCTTTAATATGCCAATCGTTTATCAACAACCCTTTTCCTTTGTACAGTGGAGATGACATGTTAATTCTGCTTTTCACCTTTTAATTTGTAGGTGGCTAGTTTTATCCTTCCATACGAGCATTAAGTGGTGAATAGATGTATTTGCTACCACATAACCACCCTTTTCTCCCGGGCTCAAGGGGTGCTTTTCCTGACCCAGGGACACGAGGGGCTCTGGGTTGTGCAACTTCTGCTTTTCTTTATGAATTCCTTCGCGCCAGCTTTACTGCAAAGCGCCTCAGAGCCGCCCCAGTGTCTCGGTGCCAAATACCTTCTCGCAAGGTCTCTCCGCAGGTTTTGGGCCAGTTTCAGGCTGCTCTTCGGCTGCTCCGTCTCCGCACGACGCCTTTACGGGGAGCTGACCGTGGGGAACGGCAAGGCGATGTGTATAGTGTTACCTGTAAAGATTATTGAATTAACTGTAGATCATGTGAATGTCCCGTGTCTTTTATTTATATTCTCACTTTCTCTCTGATGATCAAATACGTCACGACTACCAATAAATTTGTCAGCTCAACTTTAAATAGTCTTTTGCTAAATTCACACCGATGGGTGTTTTTTAGTCCCTGAAGGGCAGAACAGAAGCCCTCAGAAACCTGAGGCCATGATTCAGCAAAGGGCCTTTAAACTCAGACACAATCCCACTGCTTTGACAACCAGAAATGCTTTGATAACCAGAAGCAAAAAGTGACCGTCCGGGGACCGCTCGTCTTGGAGGCCGCGGTGCCGATCGCGCTGCGCAAGCCCCGCTCGCAGATGGGATCTTTCTGATGGGTCACAATTATTTTCCAGAGTTCATTGCAAAGGCAGAAATACCTGTGGGAGAAATCTGTGGTGACCGAGCAACCTAAAATAGCATGTTCTGATACAGTCTGGTTTCATACGGAAAGGTGGGTGGGTGAAGATCCAGAAGCCGGATATGAAATAGCTCAATAAGAAACCAGAAAAATACAGCAGGGAATTAAGCTTGGTCTGACATGTGTGTCCCATTTTCATATACAAATATCTGTGCTCATGCTCCTCCACGCAGAATCAAACACTATTTATTGAAGTCTCCAGGCTAAGAATCGGATGGCAGGTGGATATATATGTGTGTATATATATACATATACAAAGCCTATGTGTTTTGAGCCTCCAATTCCCCTGGGAAGGCGGCGCTTTCCCTGGGGGGCACCAGGTGGCAGGCGATGATGCCTGCAAACCCCAGGCTTTTGTTTCTCACCTTTTCTGAAGCGCCTGTTGCCCCCGGTGTAACGGTACCGGGGCAGGGGGGAGCGCGGTACCTGCCTGCTCGTTGCTCCTGCTGCCCCAGTACCGATGATATTTGCAGCGGGGCTGGATTTTCCAATTCCTCCTTGAATGCCAAAGCTGCCTATGCATCTTCCTGGTTTCCCCCTCTTCCTGTTACCTTGAGTTTAGCGCTCCGGGGATATAGGGTTAAACCTAAAAGCAAAACGGGTGCATGCATGGCCGTAGTGCAGCCTTGGTGCTGCAAGAGTCCCTGCTCGGAGCAACTGGGAATGCCGGGTGAAGGGCTGCAGCAGGGCCGGGATAACCACCGTGCACGGGAGCAGGCGGCTTTCGGCAGAGAAACACAGGGCCAGCTCAGCGTTCAGTGTCCCCCTTGCTGCTCCTTTGCTCTGCGATCTAGAAACACTCGCCCCAAATCCGGCTCATTGCTCTGCACCGATGCACCCCGGCAGCTTGAGCATGCAGAGCACTTTCCCCAAAGAGACTGACTGACAGGAAGATAATAGGACCAGAAATAAGGAAATGCAGCTAACTTTAGAATAATGAGTTTTTATAAAAACACTAGCTAGAAATACAGTTACTGAATAAGTATTTTATTGATTTTTTTTTTCTGCATATGTTCCCTCACAGAAAATACCTGTCGCTTGTCCCACACACTCTGGGAATTCCTGTTAGATTCCTGAATTTAGGAAACCTGGAAATACGAATTTCCCCCCTCTCCTTTGTGCTTCGCTCTGAAAGGGCTCTAGGTTCCCAGCGTGGGCCATGACGGCCCCGTGCGCCCTCATAGGAAACGCAGAGGGTTGTGTTTCAGCCTGGCCCTTCTGAGCCTCGAGTGCCCAGGGGTAGAAATGCTTTCTTCCCATTGAGAAGAAAATTGTTTTGAAAAAAAAAACAAATAAAACTAAGAGCATGTGGTTGACTGGGGATCCTCTCTCTCCATGGGAGAGCAGCCGGAGAGCAGCCCGCTCGGCATCTTGTAATTTGGGATGAGAAGCAGTTTGACAGCCGAAAGCACAAGGTTCCTGGGTTTTAACAGACTTGGTAGCACCACGGCAGCTTGGACACCTTACGTGTCCCATGGGGCACTAAGAGCCCAACACGGGGGTCCTGGGGCCTGGGCACCCGCTGCTGCTGCCAGGGGACAGGGGACACGATGCTCTGGTGGGAGGAGAGACCCAAGGGCCCCTTGGGTCCTGTGGAGCGACAGCAGCCCCAAGGATGTCCCTGCAGTTGTTGTCCCTGAGCTCCCCGGGCTTCTCCCGCTGCGCTCGGCCGTGTTCCTCCGTCTCGGCGGAGCTGGAAGCCCCTCGCTGCCGCCCGGAGTCAGCTGGAGACGAGTAAATCACTCCTGACAGCTACATCTCTACAGGGCAGTTAGAATTAATGTCACAATTTGGCGCTTAATGAAGCAACAACGCGCCGGGCTGCGGAGAATAGCGGCGAGCAGCCGCGGCCGCGCCGCGCTCCCGCGGGACCCAACGGCACCGGCGGCGTCAGCTGCGCGCCCGGACGCGCAGCATCCCGCAAGGAAACCCCCTGAAACCCGCTGGAAAAGAAGGGAAAAGAATTCAGTGCCGGAGGTGCTGGGAGAAGGGAGACAAATAATCTCTTTGGGAAACCGGCTTGGTCGGGCGCATGCAGAAATCTCTGATTTCTAGAGAAAGATGCAGGTGCTTGATGCTCAGTCCTCAAAAAGACACTTAACAGCCCGAGGGAGGGAGGGGGTGAATGCAAATGACTCTGGAGACAATCTCAAGTTTCCCAGGATAAAAACATGATCTGGAAGCATTGCAGTTTGCAGCAGTTTGGGTACCTCAAAATAAATCACACGGTACTTTTTATTTTTATTTCTATTGTGTTTTTTTTTTTTTTTGCTTGCTCTTAAATGGGACTTTAGCACAAACCAACACTCCTCACTTGCAGAAGCGCCAGGGCTGGATGCTGCGGAGCCCCCGCCGCCGGCTCCGGGGCCTTGACAGGTTTATAAAGTGCCAAGTGGCCCGCGGGGACCGGGCGCCGCGCGGGGACGATGAAGCGTGTGGCGTCCAGCTGGCCCAACGAGGCAGGGGGAAATCTAAATTAATTCAGGGATCGTTTCTGACTCTCCGAGGGTGGATGCTGTTCCCGAGCTGGGAAGTTGCGCAGTCGGAGAATTCCGATTAAGGGCAGCGTGGGTCTAAACCGGGGGGTGTTTAACAGGGCACAGAGCAGCCAGGGATCCTACATGGGGTGGGAGCTTCATTCCCACTGGGAAGCAGCTTCCCAACAGCAAGGAGAGTTGGCCGTGATCGGCCCCACCTGGGCTGCACAGGTGAGGCCCAGGGCAGCTCATAAACGGTCTCAGCTGTTTCCAGCTCCCTTTTCCCAGCGTTCCTGCAGCATTTGGCATCCCCATCCCAGAGTTGCATGCAGCGCAGCCCTGTCCTGCATGAGCCCAGCCACCGTGTCCTCAGGCCTTGTCCATGTGCTGAGGTGGGTTGTGTGTGCAGGAGGGTGATTTTCTCTCTGCTTTTGGGGCAGCTCTTGCAGACCTGTGCCCAGGCGCCCCTGCTTGAGAGGGGCAGGACTAGGTGATCCCTGGGGTCTCTTCTGATTTCAACCACCCTGCGATCTCCTGGGCAGGAGCTGGTTCCCATTGTGGTGCTGAGTTGCTGCAGGGTCTCTCTGGGTATCTGCACAGGTTGTGGGTTAAACTGGACATGTTTCTGCTTATTGCTGATGAGACTGGGTCTGAACATGCGAGTTTTTCCCCTTGAAAACCAGGGGCTCAGCTTGGCGCTGTGGGATGAGGTTTGAGAGGCTGCAGGTTGCTCGCTGGCTCCTATCCACAAAGCTGTACCCTGCTGAGCTGTGGCTGCTGCTGTGAGGTCTGCTAAGACTCACCAGGGTTTGCAGGAGGGGCAAAACCCTGAGTGTTGCTTCCTGGAGCGGGGATGAAGCTCCTGCAATCCAGACTGCAGCCCAGGTGACTTGTGTGGCTTGTCCCAGGCTGATGGAGTAAAGTTGCATGCACTGAAAGGACTAAAGGTGTGTGTAAGAGGCCTAGAAAAACCCTCTTTGTTGCAATTTTGCTGTTTTGTTGTGCCACACTGTGTGTTGCAGCTTAGTTAAATGCCTGGTGCTCTGGTCAGCATGCAGCCCCTCAGGCTCCCTTTTTGGGGCTGCAAACACCTTGGTGGGCTCTGAGCAGATCTGAGGGAGAGCAAAAGGGCGCTTGAGCTCAACGGGGCAGGGTTTGGGCATCAAAGCTCTGCATTTGGGTTCTGGGCTCCAGCAGCCGAGTCCATCATTTGGAATTGGCTCCATAGTAAATGAGGCTTTTGGGCAGAGCATGCGGAGGGCACAGAGCCAGCCCCGTCTCTGCGCTTTGCTGCTAGCAGCCCTTGGCACGGCCTTTTCGTTTTTATTCCTTGCCTTGCTGGTGCCCGTCTTCAGCAGAAAGCTGCCATGAACTCCAAAATTAATTTTCCTGGACCATCCTAATTGCTCTAGCTGAAGCATCCCCCTGTTGTGTCCTCGTCAGGACTTGGCCCTGAGGGATAAGGGTATTCTGATGAAGCTGCCTAATGTGGCAAAATTAAAACTTATTTGGGCTTTAATTTGTACTAATCATGCACTCAGCAATAAAGCACTGGTCCCCCAAGTGTTTTTCTGGACTAGAGGAATGGGCTCGTTGGTTGGCGCTCGGATTAATGTGCAGGATGTGAGTGAAGGACACCGGCATTCACTGTGCCATGGCCACTGCAATTGCACCAATCCATCCCAGAGGCAAAGCTGTTGCCCAGGCAAATTTGTTTTATTTTTTATTTTTAACTAATTTGTCACATGAAAAATCATTTTCAGAAAAAAAGTTTCCCTGTGTTAGCTGAAAGAGCTCATTAGCTTAGAGGAGCACTAATTGGACATGCTGTGCTCAGATGGGATAGTCCAAAGGGATATTGCATGTTTTTGGAGGGCACCATCACCCATGGAGCTCTCGGAGGCAGTGGTGGGACATAGAGCCAGGGCAATGGATGCTCATGGGCCCAAGTGCGGCCCTGGTGCTGGGACAAGGCCTCGTTTCTCCTTGCGGCAGAGCCCAGCTGGGACGCGACCGCTTGGGTGGCTCCATGCGTTATTTGTCATTAATATTGCATCAAGCCAAGCAGAGATCACGTTGCAGCACAGGGTCTCGATGCAGTTGTGCTTCCCCTCGTGCCCAACAGGTTGGGGGTGAAGAGCAGGGCAGGAAGGAGGCCCTGGGACACCCAACGGTGGGACAGGCAGATAGGGGCTTGTAGCACCGAGTCTGGTCCCATCACCGGAGCATTTCATGCTATAGCTCCGTATGTGCATCATAACATGTCCATAGGCTCCTTGGTCAACTTGTGCAGCCCGTGTGTGCATGAGGTGGAACCGTGACCACTGCTGGTGGGTGCACGTTCGGGCTGGGAAGGAGTTATTCCAGGTCAGAGATGAACCTGCAGCCTGGTGGCAATTACAAACCTTGAGGTCAAATTCAGTCTTTAAAGGCGAGG